CTCTCTGTGTGTTGGGTTTCTGTTTATGTGTATGTGTGTGTGTGTGTGCGTGTGCGTGCGTGTGTGTGTGTGTGTGTGTGTGTGTGTGTGTGTGTGTGTGTGTGTGTCTGTGTGTGTGTGTGTGTGTGTGTGCGTGTGCGTGCGTGTGTGTGTGCATTGGACCCTCAGCTCCTCATTCCCGCCTCATTCTCTGGTCTTCTCCTTCTCTCTGCCACTGTTAGAACATGTAGATGAATGCTTTTTTGTGTTCGGGGGAGCTCAACTCTTACAACTATAATGTCTGTTTTCTGCATCTAGTGATGCCACTAGTGTTGTATAAAACTACCTCTGAATCTCTCTGCTAAGGCTGACCCAGCTTGGTGGAATGGACACTGTTTACTGGTAGCTGCCACTTTACATCTGCAGCATGTTCAGTCTCTTCAACTCCTTAGTTGTTGATTGCTAGGGTGGTAAGCACAGAGTCGAGCTCCTGCAACTGTCCAGGCACCTTCATGGTTATGCGTTACATGCCTTCTCTCACCTTTTTTTTGGTCAATGTCGGTCTTGCACCAGTGCACTTCGACTTGCAAAATAGTGCATAATGTAGCCAATAGCAATGAATGTGAATGTCTAGTTTGTCTTTACATTTACATGGAGAAGACTTTTTGTGTGCTAAGTTGAGTCTGGGTGAAATTGTATAATTACAAAAAAAAAAAAAATAAATAAAAAGAAAGCAATAGTAGTAATAAAATCAGTCAATAAATAATAAAGACTCTGTTACAGTAGCACACAGATTGATTTCTCTGAGTGGATTGGATATTTTGATGTGGAAGTTTTATCACGTCATAATGTTACTTCTGTCACCTGATTGTCTGCACAGCGTCTTGTCAAGATGAACATGCCCATCGCTGATGACAACACAGTTCACTTTACCTCCACTCTGATGGGCCTGATTCGCACTGCGCTGGAGATCAAGTTGGCCTCAGGTCAGATAAACTCAAACATCTATACAAAAAGTGCCACCAACAACAAGGTGTTATATAAAATGAGCTATAAACGACACTAAAGCACTGCCTTAAAACTGAACGGCAGTGATCGGTGATCGGCAGTGATCAGCCCTCATGGGTGATCGGAATCGGTAGCAAGAAACCTGATCAGAGCATCCTTAGATATTACATATCATTAAAGCCTGGTGAACTAGATGTTTTTGTAGTTCCTTGCCTTTAATAGTGTCTACCATTTGTTCTTAATAGAATAGGTTTGTTATTTTTATTCTCATTTCCTTTGTTCATTTAGAAGGTTGAATTCTATATTTATTTTTGATTTCCAGGTATGGTCCTGCAGCGATTAATGGATGCTGAGTTAAAGAAAGAAATGTCCACAGTTTGGCCGAGCCTCTCACAGAAGACCATGGATTTGTTGGTGACGCCACACAAACGTAAGTAACCTGCTTCATTTTTAACTATCAAGTTCAGCTCTGACCTGTAAATAACCATTTTATCTAAAGCATTGCTTCACAATGTGAGAGCATGCATACTCTTGTTTATGTGCACAATTATGCAGAGATGACAAAGCAATTGGATATTGACGTTTTCTGTGCAGTACTGCATAAAAACACTTAAAATATGTATGTAATAATGAATGTGTTGCCTTCACTGCTGGCTAAGATTAAATATGGTCTGAACATCTTTCAAGAGGGAACACAGATATACTGCAGCAATATAGGAAAGCTTCATTTCAAAGAAAAAATGGTGATTGTTTATGTCCCACAACAAGCTTTGATTATTGACTTTAACCCTTAAACTAGCTCTCCTCAGTATCTAGTTCACATATTTTTTTAAATAAAGGACAGATTGGGTAGAGGAATATAACTGATTAGAACTCCTGAATTGGAAACAAGATTTTAGGTAAAAGTTTATCAGGCACCTGGGAGAAAAGGCTCATTGAGTTGTCAGGTTGGGACTGAGTGTAGAGGATAAGTTGATAGTTTCAGTGAAGATGATATTGATCATGATATTGATCAGTGGGTATAGACAATTGATAGCTGGATGGACTGTTGACGGGAAGTGGAAATCAAAATTTTCTTCAAGTATTAGTTTAAGAGTCAGCAAATTTATGCAATAAGCATACTGTAACTTGTTGTTTTTTTCTGGAGATTTTCCGCTAATAAATCTGTTTTTCATCTGAACTGCACCGTAGTGGTGATGGTGGTAGGAGGTAGGAGTTTGTCACGCAAACTACTATTCAGTTCCTGCTCCATCTGTCGTTTTGTCGACAAAGACAGATTGGCAAGACATTTCACCTGCCTTGCCTGATGGGGTGACCTGCCGGTGGTGTAAGTGCATGGCAGCCTCGACACAGACTGCCGCAGGGCAGGAGTGGCTACTAACCAGTAGCTTGCCATCATCAGTGTGTGAATGTGTGTGTTGTAATTGGTGAATGGCTGAGTGTAGTGTAAAGGACTTTGGGGTCCTCTGGACTTGTTAAAGCAATGCACAAGTACAAGTCATTTACTATTTGTGCTAAACAAAGAAAGGTTTGAAGTGATTGATCAGAGTTCACATCATTATTAAAATACACTTTACATTAAATGTATTCAGGGAGGTCTAATCCTTATGTCTGATTGCTTAATAGGTGCTCACAGCTCGTTTTGGAATATTCATGTTTCTTGTCAATCTGACTATTTAAGATCTGCAAGAATATTATTATATTTTTATTTTAGATTTTTTACAGATAATTCATTTATTATTTTTTTTTCAACCTGAATTGCATCTAAAGAAAATCAGTTCAATCAAGTTAATTTCTCCCTAAAAATAGACCAAACAACCACCTTTCACAACTGTAGTCAAATCAGAAGATGTGCTTCTGATTTGCTCAAAACCTTATATAAATCTGTACTGGATGTTGCTTTAGCTACCTGCTATTTATAAGCAATATTCATTTCATACATTGCTTACAAAGATGCATTTACTTCAGTTTAGCTGTAATACGTATTCTTACTGAAAAATCTATTTTAATAACTCGCTATGAACATAACAAAAAGCTTTATTTCCTGAACCATTAATTAAATGTGCTAAGATCAAAAAGAGAAGCACTAGGTCTTTAGAATTGCCTCTTTTTTCTCTTCTTACATTATTTCTTTTCTCCTCACTTCCTCAGCCAATGAGCTAACGGTAGGAAAGGTTTACGCAGCACTGATGATCTTTGACTACTTGAAACAGAATCGAGCGAGGAGGCTGCAGCAGATGGCCAACTCTGACCCCCAGGTAAAATGTCTGCGCAACTTCCACACTTATTAGACACACACACACACACACACACACACACACAAAAACACAGAAATGCACACACAAATGCACTGAAGCATGTTTACATTGGATGCTACAATATAAACCTGAGTGCATGTGCCCTCATGTCCTCAGTACTCGTGTTTCCATAGGCTGCTCATTGGGTTTTTACAAAAGAATATTTGACATTTCTAAAGCACAAAACAACCTTGAATACTTCAAACTAGACAGGAAGTGAACTTGCACATTCACAGATGCATGTTTGTTTTTGGATTCACAAGTTATCACACACAATGTCTGAATGCATGACTCTAAAGACAATATTCTACCCCCAGTGTCCACTTTTAGGTGACACAAAGGAACATTGTTTTCCCTGGGTCCACGAATATTTTGCCTGCTGCTTCTGAATGTCCTCAGCATGTCGCCATCCATTTCTCCTCCACAGTGCAAGGTCGAAGCTCTGTTTAAGCCATTGCTGCCTCTGACTCACATGCAGGGCTCACCCAGTGCTCCTCAATCTCAGCAAAGCCTGGAGTCATTTCGTCAAGTGGTCAGCTCTAACTCCATCAACAATGGAGGGATGCTGTAAGTTCCACACCTCACAGTTCTCACAGTTCCTTTCTAAAAACTTGCATCAGTTGGTTAAATAAATACCTGTTAACACAATAAATGTGCATTTTCTGTCTAGATATGGTGGGAACCTCAAATTCTTTTGAAATATATTTTGCGAATAATTTCTAAAATGTAATTTGATTTGAAGCTGTGGCCGTTATATCGTTCAGGCCAGGTTATGACCCCAGAAATAAATCAGTACCTTCCACTGGGATGGAGAGGCCCACCGAGGGGGTCTATCCCAAACCAAAGAGAACCATATCCAAAGGCCCATCAGTGGACACATCAAACGTTGTCAATCAGGTAATGCAGAGACAAACGTGCAGCCATCGGGCTAATCCCATTATGCAACATATAACAACATGCATGTCCTAAAGAGTCTATAAAAACAATAAACCATAACAAACCTGGTTCCCTTACACATAGCTACATTTAGTAAATACAAGGCACAGCCTTTTTCAGTTTTAGGTTTTAATGTGTCGGACCATAATAAAAATATATTTAGTTTTTAGCAAGTTCTAGAATGACCTACAAAAACACACACTACACTTTATTTGTAGAGATATCATTTCTATTAAAAATAGTGATTTATAAAGCTGCGATGCTGCACTCCTATTATCTTATTTAGATACTAGCAGATTGTCCTACATTGATATCATTTGTAAAATGACAGAGTTTTCTTAAACTCTAATGATTATATCCCTAAAGCTTTCCATCTTATAAAAAAGAAGTGTTGATGCAGGAAGTAACATGGAACTTATTGTATGTCCAGGAGTCAGTAGGGCTGAACAGTGTCAGCAGCACAGTCCCAGTCCCAGGCCCTGGTCCAGGTCTGGAGAGCCAGGGCAGGGCTGCTTCAATGCCTCGGCTCAACGTGGAGCTCCAGGTAACAGCTCTTCCTCATGTTCTCAACTGCAGTGAATGTGTGTAGATATACTCCAGTGGTATTATGATTTGAGCTTACAGTATTCTGTCTCATCTTTGATTAAATACGCTCCTAAATTCACTATTTAGGAGCTGATTATTTAGTTATTCAGCTTTTGTTTAAACTCACTGCAAACCAGGTTAGATTAACTCTTGTTTTGGGAAATAAATGGGATTCTTGGGGCAGTCAGCTTTTCTGGGCTTTAGGAGAACAACATTAAATGCAGGGTCTGATACTAGATGTGGAATAGGGGTTAGACGACTTCAACATGATAAGAGTCAAGTTGACTAGTTGCTGTTACATCATAGAAATCCTTTATATCAGCTTACAGGCTTTATTCATAGCAAATATGAACAAAAGACATCAGTTGGTACTGATGACTGGATAACTGCATATATAGGAGTCAAATTATTACATTGACCACAATCGTTCATGTTAACATCATGAACTTATTGGGGCCTGCCATAGCAATTCATTGACATAGAAATGCTAATGTTAGCCTTAGCATGTTGGCTAATTTTAGCTTATACACTAATGTTTGCATTCTGAATGGAGTAAGCCCATGTTAGTCAACATGCTTTTGATT